TAGATGTGGTCCATGTATGGTCACCATAGAATCTTGAGCTGAAAGATTTGCTGCCTTATGGATTTGCCATCCATCATGCCGGAATGACACGTGTTGACCGGACCTTGGTTGAAGACCTTTTTGCTGACCGCCACATACAGGTTAGTTTACCTCGCTGTGCACGGTCTCATTGGCCCTGCTTCCTTTCCAGATAAGTTATTATTTTCTGTAGAATATGCATTTAGTTTTTTTGAAATCTGGAAAATCTCTGTTTTTAGGTCTTGGTGTCCACAGCAACTTTGGCCTTTACAGCCCAGGGTGGACAGAATTGGGACCTTCCTCTGTATGAGCCACTTTGTCTCTCGTTATCATTAAGGGCACCCAAGTTTACAGTTTGTGTGTTTGCGAGAAGGGGGCTTACCAAAGTTGGACAGAATCAGGGAAAAAAAAATGCTCTGGACATCTTACAGGTCTGTATGAGCCACTTTGTCTATTCCACTTGCATGCGCCTGGTTCTCGCGTGGACCCATGGTTTCAGTGGCCATGGTGTAATTCTCTGATCTGAAGGTCAAAGCATTGCATTTACTTAATTTATTATCCAGGTCTGTTTTGTACACACAATAAAATGGCAGAATGTTCTGTGTGAAGCAGGCCATATTTTTTTTTAATCGTGTATGGTTAAAAAAAAAACCTTTAGCCCTCTTGGGTGCCCACCAGCTCATCAGTCTCCATTGCTGCTAGATCCGCTTGCTGCAGGGTGTAGTGCTGATTGAACTCCTCATTTTTCAGTTTTTTGGCCTCTGTATGATGTGCACTCAAAGTGCCATCCTTTGCTGCTCATAGCTCTCTACCCTCTCTGTAGTGTTTGCTTTTCCGATTTTGTGATGAACAGCTGTTCTTCAACAGATGCTCGGGCGAGCGGGGCGCCCTCAGTATGACACTAAAGGCGAGGGAATTCTGATCACGTCTCACGGGGAGCTCCAGTACTACCTTTCTTTGCTGAATCAGCAGCTACCGATTGAAAGCCAAATGGTGGGAAAGCTGCCTGACATGCTCAATGCCGAGATTGTGCTTGGAAATGTGCAAAATGTCCAGGTGAGAGTCCAGTTTCCAGTGAACTTGAATGTATGACCATTTTATTGCATTCATTTTGCATCCGCACCAAATATAAAATAGTCGCATGGATACAGTGAACACAGGTGGAAGTTTTTTCTAAAATTTTGGAATAAAGGATTGTGTAGGCCAAAAAAATTATTTAAAATGGTGTTTAATTTAAAATGGCTTGTCGCGTCTCTCCTTTTTGCTCCATTCCTGTGCCGACCCTGATTTTATCCCCAACCCCTCTGCTCTCTTATCTGACTTTCCCCCTCCTTTTCTCCCCTTCATTGCAACACTTTCCCCTCCCAGGATGCTGTAAACTGGCTGGGTTACACTTACCTGTACGTGCGCATGCTTCGCAACCCCACCTTGTACAGTGTGTCTCATGATGACCGCAGTGCTGACCCCTTGCTGGAGAGGCGCAGGCTGGACCTGATCCACACAGCTGCCAGTGTGCTTGACAAGAATAGCCTCATTAAGTACGACAAAAGAACTGGAGGCTTCCAGGTATAGTGATGGCGCTACTACAGTGCCAGAGCCTCCCTTCCTTAATTAATCTGACATCAGCAACATTGCTTAGTCATAAAATCTGCCATTCAGAAGTAATGACGCTTATTGCAGTAAAAGGTGAACTTAAATTTTTTTTCTGAAATTTCGGTCCGGTATTTGTCGCAACTGTTCATGATTTTATTGCTAATTGGGTATAGTTTTGACAACGCGTCGGTGCACCTTTTAAATTGTTTGTATTTCTGCATTTGTTCTGCTTTTTTTCCACATTCATATTGCCCATCCGAAGGTGACAGACCTTGGAAGGATTGCCAGTCACTTCTACATCACTCATGACTCAGTTCAGACGTACAACCAGCTGCTGAAGCCCACACTCAGTGAAATTGAGCTCTTCCGCGTCTTCTCTCTGTCTTCAGAATTCAGGAACATCACTGTTAGAGAGGTATCTTCTGTGTCTTTCACTGCGAGCCTTGGGTATTGTTTGAAGAGTCCCATTCAGCTCAGTAAAATTGTTTGAAATGTGGGAGCATGAGCTGCCGGATAGCTCACTCGGTTAAAGCATCGCTCTGCGAAGCAGAAGTGACTGTCACGGCGTGGGTTCGAGCTCCGGTCCTACCATCCGGCAGTGGTCAGCAGCTTTTTCAGAAGTAGCGCGCAATTGGCCAATGCGCTACAGGGATGCAAACTGAGAAGGGTCTGCCGGGATAGGGTATTGTAAATGACAAGTTCTCAGGTGCCTCCTGTTGGCCAGACGGGCAATCGTTAGAAAGATACTATGCTCGTTCATGTTCGGGTGTCCTCCGCCCTCATTCTGAACTTGCGACGATTCAACCAATGAGTGTATAAGAAGCAGTAGGCAGACAGGTGCGTGCTTAGGAGGAAAGCCGCAAACTATCTTCACTCTCCTGAGTTGGCAATAAGGGGCCGCATATGCGAAAGCCTTGTACATAGTTCCCCAATTGGACATTCCAGATTCGGGTGGGATTGGAGATGCCAAATTTATTTTTAAAAAAAAAAATGAAATGTAGGAGCAATGTCATTTATGGTTTTTTTTTTTTTTTTTTTATCTCAGGTCAAAAAATATGCATATAATTAAAGCAAAATAGATTATGTATGGATTTAATTGCTCTTGTGGTTTGCCAGGAAGAGAAGCTGGAGCTGCAGAAGTTGCTGGAGAGAGTTCCAATACCTGTGAAGGAGAGCATCGAGGAGCCTAGTGCCAAGGTATTCCACATGTTACCTGAATCAGTGGTATCTTGGGAGTGCAAAGAATGTATGACCTGTAGTCACTGTGATTAGATTGGCGCCACTGGCAATAATTAACAGGGGAAACTGGTCTGTGTTATGCATCTCCCTCTGGCTGTTGCTATGGGAGGTTTTTAACCAAGTACCACTGGCATTTGCGCGTAATAGGGTTTTGTGAATGGGTCGTTCTGTCAAAATAGTTTCTGTATTTTGAGATTTTACTTATGACTTATCAATTTTGTCTTTCTCTCACAAAATGTTGACTTCAGTAAGCAGCAGAAATTCTCTCGGCAGCTGTCTGTGGTTCTCCTTAAATCATAGTATTGCATGTTTTAAGTACTGGCAGTTTACATAACCCTGGCTTTTTGTGTGTTTAAAGTCAATTTCTTTCCTGCAGATTAATGTTTTACTTCAGGCCTACATCTCTCAACTGAAGCTCGAAGGATTTGCACTGATGGCTGACATGGTCTATGTCACCCAGGTAACACTGAATTTTGTCATCCATTGACATGAATATGTGATGTAATTGCTCTCGGGCATTCTTTAAAGGACTCCAGAAAGGTTTGCACTCAAACTCAAGCTCTGCAATTGTGACATTTTCTTCCTAGGCAATTTGGTAATTCAGTTTTGTGTGCTGAGAAGGATATTTTAGTCATTTATGCACATTTCTGACATCCCGCCACATTTCAGAAGCTCTTGTTAGTCATTACAGATTTTGTTTAGAAGCATTACTTTACCGTGTTTGTATACTGTATAACTTACTAAAATAAAATATCTCTCCAGAGTGCTGGGCGTCTGATGCGGGCGATATTTGAGATTGTGCTGAGCAGAGGTTGGGCCCAGCTGACTGATAAGACAATGAACCTCTGCAAGATGATTGACAAGAGAATGTATGTCCGTTGCCTACCACATTTTTCAATTGACTGCAACCTGATTGCATTGTGACACTGAAATGGCTATATTTCTAAGTTCCTGAGTGCCTGTTAGGATTTTGTTCTAGTGTGTAACTTGAAACCACACACTCGGAACGTGTTCAAAGTTTTCTAATGTTTGGCAAGATTTAGTCTGCTGTGTCCACATCTAGTCAATCTGTCATGACACCCAGGCCCACTTTGAAGCACCATGGGTCCCAGGGCTACCACTTATTCACTTCTGAGCATATATTGCCTTTTGCCTGATAATCACAGCAAAGTTCTCTTTTTCACAAAATTCATTGTTCTTAGATTTAATTGCATCATGGTATCGTCCTCTAACTTTTGTTAAGCAAGACATCTACAAATAAGAAAGCTGTTTTATGCTTACATTTCCCATGACAAACATTTGCTTTTTTTCTGAGAATGTTTCAAATGGATATATATATATATATATATATAAAACGGCACGTTTTGCGGTAAAATTCAATTAGACTACACAAGCTAAATTAAAACTATAGCCTGCATTTTCTTTTGTTGTTGTACTAAGCTAGCTAACTACCGAAGAATATGAAATACTGGGAGAATATAGTCTGGTCAGATGAGACCAAAATTGAACTCTTAGGATGTCATAGCACACACCATGTTTGAGGTGAAGCAGTACTGCACAAAACACAATACCAACAGTGATGTTTTGAGGTGGGAACATCATGGTGGGGCTGTTTTTCAGCATATGGTACTGGCAGACTTCATACAATTGAAGGAAGGATGAATGGAGAAATGCGCTGTGACATTCTTAAGAATTTGCAGCCATCTGCGAGGATGCAGAAAATGAAACGAGAGTGGACATTTCAGCAAGACAATGATCCCAAACACACAGCCAAGGGAGCTCTCAATTGGTATCAGAGAAAGAAAATAAAGCTGCTAGAATGGCCCAGTCAATCACCCGACTGGAATCCAGTTGAAAATCTACGAGAAGTACTGAAGATCAGAGTTCATAGAAGAGGCCCCCAGAACCTTCAAGATTTGAAGACAGTTTGTGTGGAAGAATGGGCCTAAATCACATTTGAGCAATGCATGAGACTAGTTTATCCATACAGGAGGCGTCTTGAAGCTGTCATTACCAGAAAAGGCTTTTCTAAGTATTAAATAAATTTCAATAAGCGCGTTCAATACTTTTCCCTGTGGCATTCCACTTTATTACACATAACTTAATTTATGGACTTACTTGTTTTCTTTGTATTTGCCCATTTGCCCTGGGGTGGCATGGCTCAGGAGGTAGAGCAGTTGGTTTAGGAATCAGATGGTTCCTGATTCGATCCCTGGCACCTTCAGAGAGCGTATCGAAGTGTCCTTGAGCAAGACACTGAGCCCCACATTGCTCCTGGTGTGCAGGTTGGTGCCTTGCATGGCAGCTTCTGCCATCAAGGTGAATGAGAGGCATAGTTGCAAAGCGCTTTGGGGTCATGTCATGTGACTAAAAAGCGCTATATAAATGCAGTCCATTTACCATTAGAAATATGTTTACTAAGTAAAATGTTGAGGCATTCAATGCTTATTTTCCCGGCTGTATGAAATAGCACTCTCGTCTGTCTGCACCATAGTAGCGGTTACTTTTATTGCACTTAAAATAATCACGAAAAATTTATCGCCCCGCCCCAGTTTAGGAATTTGTATTTGCCGATTCTTAATAGCTTGAGGCTTTTCTATTGCAGTAAAAACCAGTACACAATGATCTCCCAGACGGGGATCATGATTATTTATTGTTATCGTTTCCTAGGTGGCAGTCCATGTCTCCTCTCCGTCAGTTCAGAAAGCTGCCTGAGGAAGTCATCAAGAAAATTGAAAAGAAAAACTTCCCATTTGAGCGTCTGTATGACCTTAACCATAATGAAATTGGTGAGGATGTACCCTTTTCTTCTGTGTCCAATGATTTTGGTTAAACCATGGAATGAAAAGGTTTGTGTGTAATGTAAATTTATGTTATGTGCCTTTCGTATTCAGGTGAATTGATTCGCATGCCGAAGATGGGGAAAACTATTCACAAGTATGTACACCAGTTTCCGAAGCTGGACCTGGCGGTTCATCTGCAGCCCATCACCCGTTCCACTCTCAAAGTAGAGCTCACCATCACGCCAGATTTCCAATGGGACGACAAGGTCTGCTGTTACGTTGAATACTCGATAAACTTATTGAAATTAATATAAATTTAAGTTATTTGGCTACTTAAATGTGAAAATGAAATCCTGTACACAGAGTATTCTCTAAGTGGAAAAGTACAGGATTTGGAAAGATGAGGAATGCATTGGCTTGTAGGCTGCACGCTACTGTCATTGACATTGTTAACCGTAGGTTTAACTTCGTAAAATGGGCATACCTGAACAGTGCTCTCTGCCCCCCACTGCCGTGTCGATCAACTACATGGTGATCACGAATATCTTTTGTCTGACTGTCCCTTGAAGGTTCATGGCTCCTCTGAGGCCTTCTGGATCCTAGTTGAAGATGTAGACAGTGAGGTCATTCTCCACCACGAGTATTTTCTTCTCAAGGCTAAATATGCTCAGGATGAGCATCTAGTCACCTTTTTTGTTCCTGTATTCGAGCCGCTGCCTCCTCAGTACTTCATTCGTGTCGCCTCTGACCGCTGGCTTTGTAAGTAATCAGCCATCTTCTGTCTTTGCAATGACCACTTTTTTCCTGAATTTTAGCTTAGTTTAAATTTTTGTTTGCATTTTAAAGGCGCAGGAAGTGGCTGAATACAGTGTGTGTTCATATTTCTAATGCATAAAGCTGCCCTTAATAGTACCTTTACTAATTCACTCTGGTATTAATGTTAAATTCTATTCAGACATCAAAGCCTACTGTACTGTTCATCATTTAAACATCTACATTGTACACCTCTATTAACCCCTTCCCTATGAAGGACATATCCGTACATCTTGGCCATGCAGCAACCCAGGACATATATGTATATCCTCAAAACCACCATTTGACATTGGTTCTCACTGGAAAAGATCACTGGCCGCAAGAATTGGCTCATTTCCCAGATAACCCTAGCCTCCGCCACTGACATCTTATGTGGTTTGCTTGCCTCACACAACGTCTTTGCACTCGATCCAGGTTTCATGTTTAGACGAAATGGGGTTGTGCGAAATAAGCCATTCAGAATGCTTGTCATATGATGGTCCTCTTGGTTTTCTCCTGTCAAATATTAATAAGAAACATTGTGGGTACAAAAATTCCTAAAAAAAGTTGTTGTTAATGAAATTTGTATGTAAAATAAGAATTGGATTGAAGAAAGAGAAAATTTGTGCATATGGAAAAAGCCAACTCGATGTTCCTTCAATTGTAAGTTGTGTTCTTTCCGTAAATACTCCTGTATTTTCCACATGCGAACTTTGTGTGCTGTAAGGGATGCTTCCGTTTACGAGAAAAGTTCTCAAGAGTGAAAAGCAGACTGGATGAGAAGATAAAGGAAATCAAGGGACTTTACCATGATGGCTACCGGCCCCTCGTCAAACGTCTAACTACCAAAGCGCTGACCGAAGTGCGCTTGTGTTCGGGAAAACTTCAACACGGAAGAAACCCGGAGAAATTCCACCTTTTGAACATTTTCAACATGTTGGTGGTGGTTAGCCTCTGTTGCCATCATATTAAGTGTTTCGCTTACCTCCCACGACAGTATGTGCTCATAGCTGCAGAAATTTCAGAGCTTCTCTCAGATTGATTGAACACAAAACCCAGCTTGGGTGCGCAGACGTTGTGTGAGGGAAGCAAACTACATAAGATGTCTGAAATGGAGGCTTAGAAAACCCCTCTTGTTTTTGTTTTGAATGTCAAATAATATGTTTTTCTTGTGTACAGACATCTGAGCAGGCCTTAATTTTTGGCGCAAACAATTGTTCAGGTTACGTGAAAGTTCAGCAAACTCAATTTAATGTGAATGGTCGCCGTTCACGCGAAATTCTGCAGCTGGTAGTAAGCCATAATAAAATCTGCGTGCGTATTTATGGTAGGCTCTCGTATTTGCCATTTATGATGGCTTTACAAGTGCAATATAAACCTGTCCGATCATTGTGTCCAGATACGAACGCAGGTAAACCTGCCACATGCTGTGGAACTTTGGCCTGACTGTTGCCAAGACAGCAGCAGTGGGTAACACGTGCGGTAATTGTATCCGACCTGTCTGTTCTCTCTCATGCATGTGTTCATTCAGCAGTAATTACGTTTGATCTGCCAAAAAAGAGTCAATGACAAAACCAACGTCTCTACACGGAAGCAAACAATAAATTCCTCAAAAGTTTTGATGTATGCAGTAGTCCGTCAGGGTACTTAATATTTACAAGCCATATTGTGACAGTCCCGTGACTTAAATATAGCTCGGAAATATTATGTTATTTGATTTCAGAGTGTAATGTTCTCTGGTTGTGTTTTACACATTTTTTGCTAGAGCCGATGGATTATTGTTGCCAACAAATAGCTGTAATGGTAATGTTTTAAAGACGGACTTATTCACAACGTAAAATTTGTTATTCGGAAATCATATGGACCTACACATGCAGAACTTCTGATTTATCATAGTAAAATGCAATTTAAGTTCACATATCGGGGCAATTTATGAATTTAACTGGATTATACAAATTTTGGCTGCATTTTAACATACAGGGCTTAAAGTTCTCCAGCGCCCCGCCGGTTTTCTGGCGTGAGGAGATTCTTCAGTCGGGCTTTTTTTTTTTTTTTTTAATGGGAGCTGAGTTTTCAATGTGTAACCGTCTATCCAATCGCATTAAACGCTGTTTAGATGCTGATTAAAGTGATGTAACGCTAAACCAATTATGAGTATTGCTTGTTACTAGGCATTAGAGGCACACGAAGTTTTTTTTTTTTTTTTTTTTTTTCCAGGGCCACGACTACGGCCGGGATGCAAATTTTTTTTTCCTGAACCTTTCAGGCAGTATGGTAGACTCTTGTCCAATCAGAGTTCATTTCCAGTAATCATTAATGGGCTACATTCAGTACAGAAAAATAATTTAATTATAATTAGGTCTATGTACTGGCACTCATTTCAGAACTCTTCAGCTTAATGAAGGTGGTGACTAGTGGTTTCGTTCTTATATTTTCCCATCGGACAGCTGTATTTTTTACAGCAAGTTAATGCAAAAACAGGTGTGCGATAACTGAAATTACCTTCATTCGCAAAAGAGTTCTGAAATTCCGCTCTCGCCGGAAAAAAAAATACTCCAATGAGACCTATTTATAATGAAATTAAAATGTAGCCCATTTTTTGTCGCTGTTAGATCGCATGTTAATTGCCAGCTCCCCTGCGTCGTGGTATGACTAGTAAAAGAGTCTACTGTACTGCCTGAAAGGTTCAGGAAAAGAAATTAATCGCCCATGACCGACCGCATTTGTGATCAGAAAATTCGTGTTGCCGCCTCCATAGCGGAGCATGATCTATCGTTCACCACAGCAGGGCCGCTGGTCCGCTGGTGTTAGAAGTGAGTGGAGGATAGGATTGCATTAACTAGCCTGTCACTCTCAAACCAACATGCTAGCTATATAACCACACACGAGATTGCTCAGATATTCAAAAGACGTCTGACAGAGAAGCTGAAGAGAACGGCGTTTTCGTTAAATTTGGACAAAACAACTAACATAAACTACGGTAGAATTCTGAATATTTTGGTTTGTTTCTTTGATGACGATGTCCGCAAAGTAATCACTCAGCACCTAGTTAGTCGGAAAAGTGTTTCCGCCAACAACTTTAGTTCACTTCACCAAATTTACACTGGACTGTGGGCAGTGCTACAGTGTTAACAGTTATTTATTATTTTTAGTTTACACAGTTAAGGTGTTGCAAACTCAAGAACGCTCTATTTAATCAGTTATGTTATCAGGGGTAACGTGGTGTGACTAGTAAATGGTCTGTATCGGAGGTTACGCTGTGTTGCATTAATGCTTGATAATGTAACGCTAACTCAACGCTATGGATAAATCTTGAGTTGGGACTAGAGACAACGTCAGCTCTGTCGTCCATGCAAGTTTCTCTGAACGTTGTAAGTCGCTGCTCATAGTTATTTACACTCAGTTTCTCAAGTGTTGGCATCCCGTTTCCTCTTTACATCTGTAAAATCCCCACAGTAGTGTTCGTGAACGTCAATCAGGTCACTCCTCTCAGCCGAAGCTCAGGCCTTAGTGAATGTTGGTAATAAGACAAATGTCAGGCAGTTTCAATGTGTTAGAAGCTCTTTTTTGTTATTTTATGTATTTCTGTATTATGACAGACAGGCTACTATCACAAAGTGCGTTAGGACACAACTCAATTTAGGACCCA